CCCGTGGGCTGCCTTCCACACCGGCAGCCAGTCAGCAGGAGGGATCCCGTAGTTCTCTGCACGCAGGTTGGACGCCGCTGTGATGAAGTCCATGTGGATGTTGTTGTCCTGTGGGGAAGGACATGGGGACATCAACATCTCGTGGAGACACCAACCTCCCTAAGCTGAGCAGGGCACTCTGCCCAACCCCAGGTACCTTCTCAAAGTGGATGGGCTCCATCAGAGGCACCTGCACCTCCTCGCTCCCTACCAGCTCCTGCCTCTGCTGCACTAGGTCCTGGGTGAGCTCTGCCAGCCGCCTGTGGTCTGAGGGCACAGAGACCCCGGCGCCATGGCACTGTGGGGGCATGGTACGATGCCCCCCCTTATTGACCTGGGTCCTCCTGGGTGCTGGGGCAGGTATGAGCAGCATCGAAGACCCATCAACACCAGGCTGGACCCAGGGACGTGCCCCGGGGGATCAAGGGGCACCAGAAGCCTCACCTGCAGGCACCTGAGCCTCCTCCTGCTCCTCTGTGAGGGGGATCTGGAGCCTCTCCTGGGGCACGAAGGGTGGCAGGACCATGCTGCGGAGGATGGTCTGGGCAGCCGCCCGGTCACTGCGTGGTGGCACCTTGTGTGCTTGGGCAAAGAGGTGGGCAGCAGCCAGAATGTACTCCAGGTGGGTGTCCTGGGGGACAGAGCAGGGGCCATGCAAGGGTTGTCCACAAGTCCAAGGCCATGCCAATGGCTACCTGCACTGCCACAAGCCGGCAGAGCAGCCTGGCTTTGGCCCAAGGTGGAGATAGAGGTGCCTCTCTCCCTTCTCTGGCCACAAAGTGTGCATGGGCTGCCCCCAGAGTTGCTCCTGGAGGCTGGGGACAGACCCAGCCCAGGACCTGGCAGCCCTGGACAGGCTCTGGCAAATGGAGCAGGACTATGGTCCAGCATCTACCCTACCCTGGCACAGGCTCAGCTCTCCCTTGCTCTCACCTTGTCGGGGTCAAACGTCAACAGATGGGGACAGATCCTGTCCCCTGCCCAGAAGGGGACACCTGGGCTGGTTTCCTGTCACAGGGAGAGCAGAGTCAGGCCTGGGGACACCGCCTGGTGGCTGGTAGAGGGGAGAGGGTGGGGGTCTCACGTGCTCCGGGGGGAAGGTGTGCAGCAGCTCGGCGATGCCATCATGGTAGCGGCTCTGCCAGTGCTTGCGGGCCCATCGCACACAGTCCCCCCAGTCCCGCGGCCGCTCCCGCAGGCTCCTCTGCACTTCCTTCAGGACCTCCACGGCCTTCCCCACCGGCAGCTGCTCCAGGAAAGCCGGGTCTCTGTAAAACGAGGTGCTGGTCTGAGAGCAATCCTGTGGGACACTCTTGGCAGGATGCAGCCGCCTGCCTCCCTCTGCCCAAGCCTGGCAGGGCTGGCAGCCCCTCTCCTGGCACCACTCCCCTAGGACCACTCACTCTATGAACCGGTTGACGTGCTCAGCGGGCAGCTGGAAGAGCCCCTCAAACTCATTGCGGGCCCACTGTGGAGGGGAAGCAGGGGTTGAGCATGAGGAACCCCCAATGTCCCCCGGGACCCCAAGCCCAGAGGC